GCGAACAAGCCTGAATGATATATATATATATATATATATATATATATATATATATATATATATATATATATATATATATATATATATATATATTTATATACATATATATATATATATATATATATATATATGTAGTACCAAGTAGCCAGAACGCACTTCTCTGCCTACTATGCAAGGCCTGATTTGCCTAATAAGCCAACTTTTCATGAATTAATGTTTTTTCGACTACCTAACCTAACCTAACTTTTTCGGCTACGTAACCTAACCTAACCTATAAAGATAGGTTAGGTTAGGTTAGGTAGGGTTGGTTAGGTTCGGTCATATATCTACGTTAATTTTAACTCCAATAAAAAAAAATTGACCTCATACATAATGAAATGGGTACCTTTATCATATCATAAGAAAAATATTAGAGAAAATATATTAATTCAGGAAAACTTGGCTTATTAGGCAAATCGGGCCTTGCATAGTAGGCTGAGAAGTGCGTTCTGGCTACTAGGTACGACATATATATATTTATTTATTTATATATATATATATATATATATATATATATATATATATATATATATATATATATATATATATATATATATATATATATATATATATATATATATATATATATATATATATATGTCGTACCTAGTAGCCAGAACGCACTTCTCTGCCTACTATGCAAGGCCCGATTTGCCTAATAAGCCAAATTTTCCTGAATTAATATATTTTCTCTAATTTTTTTCTCATGAAATGATAACGCTACCTATTTCATTATGTATGAGGTCAATTTTTTTTATTGGAGTTAAAATTAACGTAGGTATATGACCGAACCTAACCAACCCTACCTAACCTAACCTAACCTATCTCTATAGGTTAGGTTAGGTTAGGTAGCCGAAAAAGTTAGGTTAGGTTAGGTTAGGTAGGTTAGGTAGTCGAAAAACAATTAATTCATGAAAACTTGGCTTATTAGGCAAATCGGGCCTTGCATAGTAGGCTGAGAAGTGCGTTCTGGCTACTAGGTACGACATATATATATATAAAATATATATATATATATATATATATATATATATATATATATATATATATATATATATATATATATATATATATGTCGTACCTAATAGCCAGAATGCACTTCTCAGCCTACTATTCAAGGCCCGATTTGCCTAATAAGCCAAGTTTTCATGAATTAATGTTTTTTCGTCTACCTAACCTACCTAACCTAACCTAACCTAGCTTTTTTTGGCTACCTAACCTAACCTTACCTATAAATATAGGTTAGGTTAGGTTAGGTAGGGTTGGTTAGGTTCGGTCATATATCTACGTTAATTTTAACTCCAATAAAAAAAAATTGACCTCATACATAGAGAAAAGGGTTGCTTTATCATTTCATAAGAAAAAAATTATAGTAAATATATTAATTCAGGAAAACTTGGCTTATTAGGCAAATCGGGCATTGAATAGTAGGCTGAGAAGTGAGTTCTGGCTACTAGGTACGACATATATATATATATATATATATATATATATACATATATATATATATATATATATATATATATATATATATATATATATATATATATGAGTTTTCAGTTATATATATATATATATATATATATATATATATATATATATATATATATATATATATATATATATATATATATATATATATATATATATATATATATATATATATATATATGTCGTACCTAGTAGCCAGAACGCACTTCTCAGCTTACTATGCAAGGCACGAATTGCTTAATAAGCCAAGTTTTCATGAATTATTGTTTTTTCGACTACCTAACCTACCTAACCTAACCTAACCTAACTTTTTCTGCTACCTAACTTAACCTAACCTATAGAGATAGGTTAGGTTAGGTTAGGTAGGGTTGGTTAGGTTCGGTCATATATCTACGTTAATTTTAACTCCAATAAAAAAAAATTGACCTCATACATAATGACATGGGTAGCTTTATCATTTCATAAGAAAAAAATTAGAGAAAATATATTAATTCAGGAAAACTTGGCTTATTTGGCAAATCGGGCCATGCATAGTAGGCTGAGAAGTGCATTCTGGCTACTAGGTACGACATATATGTATATATATATATATATATATATATATATATATATATATATATATATATATATATATATATATATATATATATATATATATATATATATATATATATGTCGTACCTAATAGCCAGAACGCACTTCTCAGCCTACTATTCAAGGCCCGATTTGCCTAATAAGCCAAGTTTTCATGAATTAATGTTTTTTCGTCTACCTAACCTACCTAACCTAACCTAACCTAGCTTTTTTTGGCTACCTAACCTAACCTTACCTATAAATATAGGTTAGGTTAGGTTAGGTAGGGTTGGTTAGGTTCGGTCATATATCTACGTTAATTTTAACTCCAATAAAACAAATTGACCTCATACATAGAGAAAAGGGTTGCTTTATCATTTCATAAGAAAAAAATTATAGTAAATATAATAATTCAGGAAAACTTGGCTTATTAGGCAAATCGGGTCTTGAATAGTAGGCTGAGAAGTGAGTTCTGGCTACTAGGTACGACATATATATATATATGTCGTACCTAACATATATATATATATGTCGTACCTAGTAGCCAGAAATCACTTCTCAGCCTATTATTCAAGGCCTGATTTGCCTAATAAGCCAAGTTTTCCTGAATTAATATATTTACTATAATTTTTTTCTTATGAAATGATAAAGCTACCCTTTTCACTATGTATGAGGTAAATTTTTTTTTATTGGAGTTAAAATTAACGTAGATATATGACCGAACCTAACCAACCCTACCTAACCTAACCTAACCTATATATATAGGTAAGGTTAGGTTAGGTAGCCAAAAAAAGCTAGGTTAGGTTAGGTTAGGTACGTTAGGTAGACGAAAAAACATTATTTCATGAAAACTTGGCTTATTACGCAAATCGGGCCTTGCATAGTAGGCTGAGAAGTGAGTTCTGGCTACTAGGTACGACATATATATATATATATATATATATATATATATATATATATGCGGATTTTCTTGTGACTTCTACATCTTGGAGAATGCATATCCGGCACTAATCATGTGAGTTTGTAGCGAAAGTTACTGCAATATATATGTTTGGTTATGAGAACATAAGAACTAAAGAATGAAGGCAACTGCAGAAGGCCTATTGACCCATACGCGGCAACTCCCATTTATATACACCCAATCTCATTATTATATATGTCTAATCTACTGTTACACAGTTAAGGGGACCAGTGTCTGTTTTCTAGTTATCCCTAACGTATCCCTATATTTTGTTTTTTGGGGGGTTATTTTTTCTTGACTTCATTTCAACACATATTGACCTACAACATTAACATATTCGAGTACGAATGCCATGCAATGTTTATTAAAACATACAAGACCGTTCATTAATTAAAACTACCCATATTCATTTTCATTAACTTCAACTACAATTATCTCTAAAACAGGAATTTCAACTTTGAGAGCTAACTAAAAATTCAGTTTCCGATTGATTCTCACCATTTTTACATTTAATGTGAAAAGTTCTTTGTTCTAAGGTTTCCTTGCCATCGTCTTGTCATAAAGCCAAAACGTTTGGAGTTACAAATATTTTGCGTATAAATTTGGCATATATTTTGATAGCCACATCCAATTTTTTTTTGTTTTACAGTAAACTATACTCTTAAACAATAATTTTCCGCAAGGAACATGAACGTTATTCTGTTCAATAATAAGGTTATTTGAATGATAATGAACGTTAATAATGCCCTTCTGAGACCATAGTGAATAAAATAACATTTGGTGACATTATAAGTTATTATATATATATGCCGCCAAACACACACCGAAACTACGACGTTGGTACAACGTTCGAACAAGTTTTAACACCTCCTAACCAATTATAACAACCAATATAGCAAGATGTAACAACGTTCTAATACGTCATAAACACGTTAAGCCAAGATGTAACAACTTTATTACAAGTTGTAACAAACGGAAAATAGTGACAGATTCGGTTTGTGTTTCCAGGATAGTTAATAATACTATGAAGTAGTGAATTTTGTTGTTGTTTTTAATTTTTTTCTGTTCATTGTACGATGTTGATCCATTAGGAAAAGGTGGAGCTTGCCCTTTAAGCTGGACCATGAAGATTATGCATAAAATTTTTTAGTGTGTTTGAGGAAGTTTCGGTGCACATACACTGAGCCCCTTAACACAGCATATTAATATAAACATTAAATATTAGCATTATCATTGAAACAATTAAACATACAATAATCATTTAATTAACTAATACTTATTACCTAGCATAGTGGTAATGATACATGTCATTGTAATTACACAAAAAAATAAACACTTTTAGTTATTATTGGGAAACATTTGCTCAGCTCTTTTATCCCGTTTATCCCACAAATTAAAAATAGTGAATAAGGGCCATCTTACAGGTGGTAACTGGGGATTATCTTGTTTCTCTACGTGATCCTCATCCTCTACCTGTTCCTCACGGCTCGGTATGTCCAGATGACCATAAGCGAGTGATTCTGTCGTTCTTATTTGGTATCGCTTATCATCGAAAGCTGAAAGACCCTTCTTGGTTGTTTTACATGTACAGATCTGTCCGTTAATTTTGTGTGTGGATCTCGATACAAATTTAAAAGTGGTATTTGTTGACCAGACCACACACTAGAAGGTGATGGGACGACGACGTTTCAGTCCGTCCTGGACCATTCTCAAGTCGATTGTTGTTAAGACAATCATTATCATAAGACAATCAACGGACAACTGTTGCTTAAAAGTTGTATTTGTTTCAAGTGTATTGCAAAGAGGCGTGAGAAAGTTATATTTTGCTGCTGAAATTGGATTCCTTTACATATGCAAATCTGTTCTTTATCAAGAGGTATGATCAAATATGTTTTTGGTTTGAGAGACTCTACTATTATTTTACTCTTTACTTCAGAACTGAGAAGTCCAAGTTCACCTTTACTTGCACCTAATATGGAACATGAGGTGCTTTTTGTCAGAGTTTCTTAAGTCTAAGGAATTTACTAATGGAGGCCTTCGTCATTTCTTCAAAAGCACCTTTACACACCAGAGTGAAAGTTAAAGAATCTGTATCTGTATAAATGAATCTAGTTCTTTCACCCTAATGTTCTTTAACTGTCTTATACCAGAAATTATACAATCTTCTCATTGCTATTTGCAAAATCTGATACCACCATGTATAAAGGAATGGTGACTAAGGATATCTTTCACGATTGGACAGAGAACCCGATATGTGCCTAGTGAGACAGCACTTTTATACTAAGGGTTTTTTGCATGTACTAGGAAAGTTTCTCGTGAAGTCACTAGGTGGTAAGTGTTAGCATAACGAGTAATGTTAGTCATAGATTTCCTGTAGAGAATATTGCTAATGAGTTAGAATGCTTTTGATTTTAAAGAGCAAGATGTGTTTGACCGTTCTCTAATGTTTGTGGAAATAAAATATTTGCGATAAGATACGTGTCTAAATTCATAGATGGCTTTTACTCATTCCAATCCAATCCAATTCTCATTAGGAATAAGATGTTAGAAAGGAAATCAAGGCTCACTAAATAGTCTTTCTGTGGAAAATGTTAAGCAATTAATTTTGTGTTTTTCGTTGGAAGTTTATGTCTCTCATCATTAAGAGTATGTTTGCTATACTCTAATAAATATTCTTCAGTAATATTTGTGTGTGACAGTACGAGAGGTAAGTTAGCAGTGTACCTTGCTACATCTGGAGATACCTGTTTAGTATCACACAAGATCCAATAACTCTTGTCAAAATTGCAAGTGTTGTGGGCTAGCCTTTGTTCCAACAAAGCATTCCGCTCAAGATCCGATAACTGTCTAATCCAACCTTTAGGAAGCAACAGTCATTCAAGCAGTGCATAAACTAATGAAGTCTAAATACAAAATGTGTGTGTCTTCATCAGAGCTGGGGTTGGATGTAGTGTATTCGTTCTTAGCCCAAGTGAACTATCTTATAGATGATGTAAAAAAAACACAAAGATTTCTTCCTAGCAAGTCATATATGTTATGCTCATTTACACAGTCAATTATAACTTTAGACTTGAAGAAAGCGTCCCGAACGTAACTAGGCAATGATACGTAGAAGACCATTTTTAATTGATAAATTTATTTTATGGACTTACGCCAGAGTGTAAATATGTCAACCAGCTTCCCTACATCAACTTTTAAGCACAAAAGGAGATATTTCCTAATGTTCTCGCACTTCCCTAATCTAAGCACGTCAAGAGCATGGGAGTAATTTACTTCAGAAAGAGGTATGTCGTGTAATGTGTTATAAAACTGGTCACGTGGAGGGAGGTGACGTTCGTCCAGTATATCCATTGATGAAATATAGTTGTAGCAGAAAATCCGTTTCCCTGGCATTAACATGGTTTTACCTTCCTTAGATACATCTCTTAATCTTTGCTTTGTATACTTGAGTAGTTTCTTACTCTCAATGTGCTCGATCGCTAAACTTTCCAATGATCAGTTAAGGAGTGTCAAGCTATCTAAGAACCTAATTTTACCTATTGTCACTTGCATATATATAAATCCTTCTTCAGAAAAGATGTCAATTTTACGATAATGTGTTTTGGATAGTTCCTTTAGTATAATTTCGAGTTCATAAGATGTTTTAGGTGAAAATGTGTATAGGTATCTGCGAGCATTAATGAATTGCAAGTTGCAAATGAGCACAATATGAACCTAGATAGATTTTATCTTTAACAGTGTGGTTATGATGTCTATGTTTGCCCTCGCCTGTTCTAAACTCTTAGTGACATAACTGACAATTCCTGCGTCTGAAACACTCTCTCTTCTTCTCTGGATAAGTTTTTTAGGGAAGTTGGGGAGCAGAGCATAAATTGTCTTCCAAGAAGCCTCTAAATTTGAGTTGAAATTATTTAACTGTATCAGGTCCTAGATAAGAATGCGTTTCTACAACATTGAAGTCTCTATCCAATATGATACGTATGCATAAGCAATTGCTTTTTGACTGTTTTCGGTCATTCCTCGGGGATTTTGGCGATCGAGCAAGCATTCGAAATCGTAGAAAGCAGTGTGAATAGGACTGAATGTCCACCCGTAGTTCGTAATTACGATTTTTTAATCTGGATTGAAGAAAGAGAATACCTGTGTAACGGGGCACGACTCTTCGTGAGCATTTATCCCTTCTGGCTGAGCGTGTAATAAGCATGTATGACAGAATTTGTGAGAAGCAGGAATTCTTTACGGGTTATGATTTATACTCTTAGCAAATTTGTCAGTCCTAATAAGAAATAAATGTTTGCCTTCCAATAACAAAAGAAAAACAATATATTTATACTGTTCTTTGCTCTTCCTGGCTAAACTGAGATAGTACTGGCTGTTTTCTTCTGATATTGCATATATGAAAATGCAACCCAACTCTAAATTGACAGTACGTTTTAATACTAAGTGTAATGAATACATTTCCTGGCTATCATACATAGTACATAATTGCACTTATGGGGCTGTTACATTGCAACCCATTCTTGCACCTGCTTATAGTCAATATCTTGCTTTTGAATAAGTGCATATGTGACATACTGATTTATTGTGAATATTTGAGTTTACCTTGAAAAGCTGAATAATAAACCACAGCCTAACCTAACCTTCTTAGTATGTTAAGATATTACAATTAGTACTGAACCTATACCTATATTGATATTACAGTTTTATAAAAATAGTAAAAAAAACTAAAATATTTAAATAAATTTTAAAGTAATTCGGGATATTGTCAAATTTTGTATAAAATCTCTATTGTCTAATAAAACCGAGAGGAAAAGTTAGTGCCTTGAAAAAAAATATGGCTTGGAATATGTCACATATATACTTATTTATAAGCGAAATAGTGATAATTATGAGCAACAAGTCATATATGTGCCGTCTTGTGCGAGAGCAGGTTGTACATTTACCACTCCATTTAACTCTCCTCGTTTTCTGTTATGAGACTCAGAATTTTAGGATGAAATTTTGAAGTTCAGTTTGCTATACACAAGTTTTAAATATCAGGAATTACTTTTTCACTTTTATTAAACAATAGAGAATTTATACAAAATTTGAATATATCCTGAGTTACTTTACAATTAATTGAAATATTTTATATTTGTTTTATAAAACTGTAATATCAATATAGCTATAGTTTAAGTAGTAATTGTAATTAAGAAGCAATAAAATGCTTATCTTTGAAAAGTAAGATGGTTAGGTTAGGTCGTGGTCTTCTATTCAGCTTCTCAGTTAAACTCAAATATTCACAATATATTTGACTATGATTTAATACTAAGTGTAAATAAGTACAATTCCTGACTTCTATACATAATACAAAATTGTACTTATGGGGCAGTTACATTTACCTCCCCATTTTTGGAGGACGGGCTGGAAAATAGATAGTTTATTGAGGGTTTATTTCCTAGATTATCAAAAGATACAGGGAATTTGAATTCATCTGCCCATAATACGTATCTCCTACACCATTGAAATCTTTTGTAGTGCATATAAACGTTGTGCATTGTTGTTCAACGTTCTAAGCTCTTGTAAGCGGCCAAACATTATAGTAAACATTCATCTTATTCACTTTTTGAGTTGAAGAAAAAATCTTTACCGCTTAATTTAGCTGGGTACATGAGTTCCAACGTGCATTGGGTGACGGATGGAAGAGAAGTTAATAGCAAACCAAGATATAGAGTGTAATCCTACATTAGAGGTCTGAACATTTTTAAGACACTCATAAATTTTTACAAGTTTATCACTAAATTTGGGATATGTCTAGGTATATGTGAAAATAGGATTGGAGGTCAGCTTGTATTAATATGTTATCTACATGTCCTAACAAGAACCCCCCCCTGTATGTACTAATATACAATATAGTTTGTTTTTAAATGTGTTGGAATAGAGAAGGCAGTTAGGGAAAGCCCCTTCGAAGTGATCAATGACTTTTAAAACCTGAGGAACAGGTGGAACTGAACTTGAATTATCTATCTCGGGCTAGTCAGGAGAGATTAAATTATCTTCATTATCCGACGAAGAAAGCTCATGCACATTTTTCTGGGGGTGCTGATCCCGAGCTTGTATATCTTAATCTTCGTATGACAAAGAAAGAGCATGTGCTTGCATGCTATGAGCTGGAGAATTATCGTTTTGTACTGACTTAGTTGTGCTTGCTGGGGTTGAGCTCTGGCTCTTTGGTCCTGCCTCTCAACTGTCAATCAACTGATGTACAGGTTCCTGAGCCTAATGGGCTCTATTATATCTACACTTGAAGCTGTGTATGATGTCTGCCTCCACCACATCCCTCCCTAATGCATTCTATTTGTCAACTACTCTGACACTAAAAAAATTCTTTCTAGTATCTCTATGGCTCATTTGGGCACTAAATTTCCCCTCGTCCCTAGTGCGTGTGCCCCTTTTGTTAAATAGCCTGTCTTTATCTACCCTATCGATTCCTTTGAGAATCTTGTACATGGTGATCATGTCCCCTCTAACTCCTCTGTTTTCCAACGTGTAAGGGGACAAGTCTGGTATGATATGAACCCCCAAGTCTTTCTCTCTCTTTGATTCATGAAGAATTTCATCTCCCAAATGATACCTTGTATCTGGACTCCTGCTCCCTACACCTTTCTTCATTACATTACATTTGCTTGGGTTAAACTCTAACATCCATTTGTTCAACCATTCCTCCAGTTTGTGAATGTCTTCTTGAAGTTTCATGGAGTCCTCCTCTGTCTTAATCCTTCTCATAATATTGACATCGTCAGCAAACATTGAGAGGAATGAGTCTATATCCTCTGGGAGATCATTTATATATATCAGAAACAGGATAGGTCCGAGTACAGAGCCCTGCAGGACTCCACTGATGACTTCACGCCAATCCGAGGTCTCACCCCTGACTTTACCTCTGCTTCCTATTGCTTAGGTACTCCCTTATCCACTGGAGCACCTTACCAGTTACTCCTGCCTGTTTCTCCGTCCAGCTTATGTTCCAGCCTCTTATGGGGTACTGTGTCAAAGGCTTTCTTTCAGTCCAAGAAATGTACGTTTATGTACAGGCGTGTTCCAATCTGAATGTGGCAATGCCTCCCAGAGCGAACTGTTCTCTGTAATAAAATATCACGATTTGTAATAATATTTTTATTGCAAACTAGAAAACGCAATATTGAAGAAACAATAATAATATAATGAGTTAAATAATTTAAAACAAATACTTAATTATGAAATAATAATAATAATTCTAATAATAATACTTATGTAATAGAGATCACTGCCTTCTGCTCCTCCAAGTGTGAGGTTCTCCTGTATTCGAATGCATAGACACTCCTGTAATATAAAAAATACTTGTTGTAACACCTGTCTTATAAAAATGTTTCTGTATTACTATATATATACAATACTTGCTTACAAACCCATCTGCGACACTAGTTATAATACTTTTTTAAAATTTGTCTTAATTTTACTTGTCTGTATTTAAGTGATAAAACATTGCTTTGATACTACTACTACTACTACTACTAATAATAATAATAATAATAACGTTAATTTATATATATAAAGTTCTATATGAATATATATATATATATATATATATATATATATATATATATATATATATATATATATATATATATGTATATATATATATATATTATATATTTTTGTTCAAATACCTGTATAAATTTTGTTCAAACAAAATCCAAGATGCAAGAAGATTACAAATTCTTGAGGCAATTCACATAAGAATAGAACAACCTACCTTGAACACCCAAATCACGGAACTATTTACTCTACCCACCATCAGAGTAAGGACAAGACCAGAACATAACGATGCCAACACAGAAGACAATGTTCAACATAACAGGCCAATTACACTTGATTAATCTTTGTATGTAGATAGAAGCTGCCTCGTATGGGCCAATAAGCCTTCTGCAGTTACCTCCATTCTAATGTGCTTATGTTTCACCCCACATTTATCCCTTATGTATCCCCCCATGTTTTCACCTTTTATTGTCTTATCACCTGACCAGTGCGGGTATAAAATCAACCAGCCCTGTAAAATCTCTTCACTTGAGAATGAACCATGGAGGTTCGAAACGTTGTGCAAATTGTATAAATAAGTGTAATACATTCTATAGCAATTCACTTCTTTTCTTCACCTTAAAATTACGAAAATGAGTTTTGGAGAACTCCTATTTCAGCTAAGCCCTGATGCTAAGAAAATAGAGGGATAGAAGCCCTAAACCAGAAAATAGTAAATACAGAATATGCGGTCATGTTCAATGAAATATATATATACATATTATATATATATATATATATATATATATATATATATATATATATATATATATATATATATATATATATATATATATATATATATTTATTTATTTATATATATATATTATATATATATATATATTTATATATATATATATATATATATATATATATATATATATATATTTATTATATATATATATATATATATTTTTATAATATATATATATATATATATATATATATATATATATATATATATATATATATATATATATATATATATATATATATTCCGTTGGTATAATTCAGAACGATAATATATATATATATTATCGTTATTAATATTATTATTATTATTATTATTAGTAGTAGTAGTAGTAGTAGTATCAAAGCAATGTTTTATCACTTAAATACAGACAAGTAAAATTATATATATATATATATATATATATATATATATATATATATATATATATATATATATATATATATATATATATATATATATACATATATATATATATATATATATATATATATATATATATATATATATATATATATATATATACATATATTGAATCCCTATTTACCAACGTCCCAGTCGACACAACCATAGGAATGATACTGGACAGAGTATACAGAGACGAGAGCACCCCCAAATTAGACATACCTGAGCCACACTTGAAGAGTCTTCTCGAAGCATGTACAAAGGAAGCCCCTTTCATCAGTCCACAAGGAGACATGTATTTACAAATAGACGGAGTAGCAATGGGCTCCCCCTTAGGAGTTTTATTTGCTAATTTTTATATGGGAACCATCGAAGACAGGGTCTTCAGTAGCCGACAAAAACCAACTGTATTGTTGCTGGAAGGCTTCTGTGCTGGCTAGGGTTCGAGTCTCCTGGTGGGAAAGTGTTCTAAAGTTGTATACTTAACTCTCGTGTTTAGGAGAGTTGTGCCTTAAGCATAGACACTGTGTCTTCCCATATTAACAGGGACTTGATGAAATTAACGTCTAAATGACCCCTCACTTGCTCTAGTGCTCTTGGGAGGTGGTGATCTTTGGTGTATTTAAATACTCCGAAATTACCATCTCTTTTAAGGGTCTGAGCTGGTGGTGGAGCGGGTTAAGGCGTACCTGTTATGCCAGTTGCT